CGGTTGCAAGAAATACCTTTTCAACAAATTATATTATAGAAAAGTAAGAAAGCAGTCAGTTGCTGGTCGAATAGTTTCCTAGGTAATTGTGGTAAATGGAATCAGCATCTAAATTGTGAAGACCATTTAGACTAGTGCTTGAAAAAGGGAAAGTATTGAAAGGTTCTAAAGTGGTCAAGTTATCTATTTATTTATAAGGCATAGTAAACAAGTGTTAGTTAACTTCAAAAATGCTATTTTATGAGTACTCCATTTCCAGGAATCATTGACAGGAACTCATTCTAAAGGAAAATAAAACTAAAACAAACCTGAGACTACTCTTCTTTTCCGTAATTTGAAATGGAGTTCCTCAAGAAGGATCAACTTAATTTTAATTATGTAGTCTTAACCGTTGGCTTCAGCACACGAACTTTTGACACAAGAATTTTAAAGCTAAATTTGCGAAAAGCGGGAAAATAGATCTCCTAAGAAATTCGTATGACCAAGTGTAATGTTTCTAGCACTCGTCATTTGCAGATTATTGGTGAGTGTTATTTCCAAAGTCTTCAATAAATTGAGACAACTTGCAAACAAATCGCTCGAATTTCTAGTATTAATGGAGATAAAATTAGTCAAGAGCTTTTAGGTGCACCTGTCGTCCTTGGAGATATTCATGTGCGAGGAATGTTCTCCAGTCTTGCATCATCGATGCTGTAAAAGATACAGGAGATCTGATAGAACTATGTAAGTTTGACTCGTTGGTTTAGGTAGTATATTATAAATGGTTCAAATTGCACATTGCAGTAGCCTGCACACAAGGTAACAACACTGATCTAAAAAAATCTGTCACTGAGTGCGCCAGTAGCGTCAGATTGTCTACGCCACTCGACGTCGATCGGTAGCTTTGTGTAAAAATCAGAGTAATGTCCAAAAAATCTGGTTGCTTACAACCTGTCTTATGTAGGGTGATTGATTGTGCAAGCGGCGCTACTGGTCGAAGATTGCTGGCGCAACATGGCGTTACACAGGACCGAATGCTTCCCATCATTCAAAGAGTGAGCTGAGCTTCCTAAGTTTATGTAGGGTGATCACGTCCAATTATAGGTACCTACGATATTTCTTAATGGGGTTTTGGAACCGGTAGCTGATGAGGATTTGCTGCATATACTTTGCGTTCGATATTTGAAGCCACGTCCCCCGGAGTGTGACAGCTTCAAAAATGAATTCTTTGACGAAATTTGAACTTTAATTCATGGTTGTCCTAGAGCCGTAGGGATTCTTTTGTTCAGCACTGCTCAGGAAATTACGAACTCCTAGAAATTAGCAATAAAACTTAAAATATTCATATTGGAAAGGTAGTTTTGCAGTAAATATGAACTTTTGATCACTAACACCTCCAGTATCCAGTGTTGCAATTTTTGTTTTTTAGTGGTCAACTTATCGCCACTAACATCTATCACTACTTCATTTCAAATATTGTCCTATGATAGTTTGAGCTGCGGTGCAAAAGTTCAACAAACATATCAAAGAAACATTTTCAAAAAAAGATTGTTCAATGAACAATAAATGTTGCAATAAAGTAAATCAAAGTTGACAGATTATTCCTAATTTATTACTTCTTTCTCTCATCCTGTACTGGCGGAACGATAAAACTAAAGTGCACTGGACGAAAGAACGAAATATAAACGTTTCTGCGATGTATCATTCGAATCACAGCGCTTTTCGGTTCGGGATAAAGTAATGGAAGAGTTACATTTTACGCTTGCACTCCTATCAATCATGAATTTTTCTTAGTTTTCTACTTATCATTATGATCGAGTG